ATTTGGAAAAGCATATAGTCTTATACAAGGAAACATATGATATTTGTTACACTAGAAATTAATGTTTTACCCTTCATGGGTTAGCTTAACAACACTGAGGGAGAAAAGGAGTTGAAATAAAATTTGGGGTAGCATGTGTTTTATATAAACTACATAGGGGGAAAAAGAGAGTTAAGAGAAACATATAATGAAAGGGGTAACCAGTAAACTCATGGTACTTTCAGGCTTACGTTCTAGAAATAAAGGTGATGGTACTCACCGCAAAGAGTCTAAAAAATGTACCATACCCACCACAATGTGTCTATTACAATAGCACCAAAAAAAATTATGTGTAAACATGATGCCAAAATGAAAACCCTTGTTTTGACTAATGCTGAATTGAAGCGACGTCCAAGCTACAGTGTCGAATCTTGAGAGAAGTATTTAAAGAAAGGATTGAATTGAAATGAAACAATGAGAACATTCAAGAAACACTCTTGGATAATAAGACTAGGAGATGACCAATTAAGGTACAAGAGCTGGTATGCAAGAAAGACACTCGAATATGCATAACAGTACCAGTACAAATGTGTAAGCAGCAATCATTTCAATTACTGGACAAAGAAAATATAGTACTCATTGTCCATTTCTGCTATAGGACATGGAAAATAAAGAGGTTCTTGTATAATTTTTTTTTGTTATGAGCTTGTAGTTTTGCAGCAGTTTCTACTGCAGGCAGTGTGTGATCATTTATATTACTCGCCAACTGGTTTCCCCCCCCCCCCCCCCCCCCCCAACTATTCTTTGGTCTGTTGGTGAGAAAGTTCAAATCCACGTAGTTTTGTAGCAGTTTCTACTGCAGGCAGTCTGTGATCATTTTATTTTACTCGCTGATTGGTTTTTCGCCAAATAATTCTTTGGTGCTGATGGTGGGAGAGTTCAAAGCCGTGTCAATGTAATCTGTGAATTTTCCTGCAGACAGTTAAAATTATCATTTTTAATAATCTTCTCATCTCTCATAGGCAGATGGGTCTATAACAATGACATATTCATTGCACCTTTTACCTGTCTGTAGTGTGCTCATCATTATTTTATTTATTGATTGCGCAGATACGGATGATTGTGTGAACATGGAAGACTGTGATTGCATGGGTAATTGTGTATGCATGGGTGACATTGTATGCATGGGTAACTGTGTATGTATGGGTGACTCTGTATGCATGGGTAACTGTGTATGTATGGGTGACTCTGTAAGCATGGGTAACTGTGCATGCATGGGTGACCTTGTAAGCATGGGTAACTGTGTATGCATGGGTGACTCTGTATGCATGGGTAACTGTGTATGTATGGGTGACTCTGTAAGCATGGGTAACTGTGCATGCTTGGGTGACCTTGTAAGCATGAGTAACTGTGTATGCATGGGTGACTCTGTAGGCTTGGGTAACTGTATGTATGGGTGACTTGGTAGGCATGGGTAACTGTGTATGCATGGGTGACTCTGTAAGCATGGGTAACTGTGTATGTATGGGTGACCTTGTAAGCATGGGTAACTGTGTATGCATGGGTGACCTTATAATCATGGGTAACTGTATGCATGGGTGACCTTGTAAGCATGGGTAACTTTGTATGCATGGGTGACCTTGTAAGCATGGGTAACTGTGTATGCATGAGTGACTCAATATGCATGGGTAAGAGGGTGTCTGTGGCTGTATGGGTGTGTGTGTGTGATTAAGTTCTTGTGTATATATGGGATTGTATGGGTATGTAAGAGTGTTTAAGGATTTGTGGATGCTAATGTGTGCATGGGTGATAGTGTATAAGGCACTTGTTAATATATGGGTGTGTGTGCATGTATGAGTATGTATGAGTGAGTGCATTTATTAGTGTTTAGGCTTGTATGAATGTGAATGTATGTATGCATATATATTCAGAGATGTGGGTATGTTTGGGTGTATATGTATGAATACATTTCTTATATATATAAAAACAATTCTTAGAATGCTGTGCACCAAGAAGAAGAGAGAACTTTGGTTCAGAAAACTGAAAATGCATTGACTATGAAAGTATATTTATCAACCAACAACAAAAAGATAAACACTAAACAAGAACGACAAGATCATAGCTGTATTATATGACATTACCAAACAAATAAAATAGTCAAAGCAACATTAAAGAGCTGGCAATAAAAACTGCAGATCTAGGCAACGTTAAACTCTTTTGAGTCCCAGAGGTGTTTAGCATCACAGGCCCGCTGAATAGTCAAGAGAGACATAAAATCGGCACATCTTGTGTTCATTTGGCTCCTAGGTAGGAATCTATGAATGTATGATGTGTCCCTTGGGACTCAAAGAGTTAAAGAAGTGTATTACCTTGCTGATGATATGGTTTTAGAACAGTAGCCGCCGCTTTCTGTATTTCCGGCTCACTGGCGTAACGTCTGAGGGCAGAAGTCACGTTCTGAACGAGTTCACGGACGTCACTGTCATCTGTCAGAAGAATGAATCAATCAATCAATCAGACCATCAAGAGCTCACATTACTGCACTCTGGACATTCCCACACATCCTCCGTCCCCTTGTTCAGCAGCCGGTGAAAAGTCGACATGCTAATAGTACCTGTTGCACCCCCCCCCCCCCCTTTTTCCCCAAGTGTTGAATATCTTCCTTAGCCTCTACTCACCCCCCCCCCCCCACATTTAAATAGTCTTTCAGTGTTTTAATTCACTATACATTCGTTTGCACTGTCCATTTGATCCCACATAGCTTTTACCACATCTGCTTTATCATACAGTAGCTCACCACCCAAATAAGTGGTTTACCAGGGGCGCCAATACAAAGAAAGCATTGGGAGAGGGGGGGGAGGGAAACTCTTAAGCTTTGTTTATGTGTGTCATAATAATAATGTTCAAAATGAAACATTAAAATCAATATATATTTGAAATGATATGAAATGTATAATCAGATACTTGAATAGTGAAGTTCTTTACATGTTTTTTAGGGGGAAAAGGGGGGGGGGGGGGCATTAAGCCTCCTTACAGTTTTTGTTTGTTTTAAAATCAGCCCAGTGCAGATTTAAACCGAAGACCTTCAATTCAGAAAACAAGTGTCTAGCCACTGCGCTACCACAGCTCACTCTGCATTATGTAACAACTTATACATTAGAAGAAAAAAAGTGTTGCAAAATTGACTGACCTGAAAGCTGGCACTGACATAAAGTAGTGCAGGCTGAGATTTGGATCTCTTTGTTCTCGGGGAATGTCTTCATACACAACAGGATGTCTTCAAAGACTGTTTTGGCTTCATCTGGGTATGTCCTCACGTCTGTAGAATTAGAAAACGATTAACTGATGAATTCATTGCATGAATGCTTAAATACACAAACAATACATGCATATGTGTTACTGTGATCGTGCACACATTTGTAGGAATATGTGCAGCGGTATTAACAGAGAGAGAAGAGAGACAAAAAGAAGAGAAATACAGAGAGGGTAACTCGTAGAAACTGTTAAAGAGGTAGAGAAAGTGACAGAGAAAGTTGGGATAGACAAACAGAGGAAAAGACAAAGATAGATAGAGAAAGACAGACGCTGTTGGGTGGGGGGGGGAGGAGGGAAGGGGTCAGAGACATAAACAGACAGCAGAAGGCAGAGATACTGAGCAAGAGAGAGAGAGAGAATGACAGAGCAAATTCTTATGTCTAGCAATCTTCTTTCAGGGTTTCCATCAGCTGCTACAGCACTGCCTTGTATAAATCTGGAGCTGGCCGTGGCTGGAGCTAATTCACTAACCCTGCAGACAGCAGACATGGTTCACCGATATGTGTGAGTGCCATTTATCCGCTCTGGTTTGACCCCTTCTGGTGTGCATACATGGTGCTCTTTCTGGCTTAAATAATTGCAAGACATCTTTATTATGCTTTTCTACATGGAAGCAGAAATAGAACACAGAAGTTACGAAGCAAATCATATCACTGGACAGCTGTCACTAGTTTAGCAGCACAAACATGTAACAACTGACACCAAAAGAGGATTACTGAATACAGTAGTTTTACTATTATTGTGTTTCCAATGCCAAAGGCCAAATATGGACATTAACAACAAAAGAAGAAAGAAACATTGAAACATCAGAAATTAAATGCCCAATAAGAAACCCCAAATGTAGCTAGCAGAGACAGGATCAGAAATACGATATCAAGAAAGAAATTGAGATGGGACTAGTTCTAAACTACATCAGGAGAAAACAGATTCAATGGTTTGGACAATGTCAAGACTACCACCAGACAGTGCAACAAACTGGAAGTAGAGCCAGAGGTTGACCAGGCAAGAGATGGATGGATGGAATATATGATGTCGAAAATACCAGCAACTACGTAGCACATATTAAAGCTTACACCTGATACCTCTTCAAACCTGATGCTGAAAGGTAGAACAGGACAACATAAAAAGAATAAAAAAGAAGAAGGAGAAAAAAAAAGAAGAAGAAGAACAAGGAGGAGAAGAAGAAGAAGAATATTTTATGCTCTGGAGGTCATAAGTTCATTTCACGGGCTATGTAGTTCAGTTTACTATTGAAATTGTTTACAAAAATTCCTTGAGATCTGTGAAGAAGCTACAGCAGTTCTGTGGAAAGACAGCAGGTTTCTCTAACTATGCAAGAGACTTGTTTGAAAACAAATAAACAAACAGATAAATGAACAAACATAGCAGCTAAGATACCCACCCACAGGAACCACGTGTGACAGAGCTAACAAGGCGACCATTGCCAGTCGAGCCTCCGAGTGGTGAGTGGCTATAGACTTGCTTATAATGGATACTCCGCCTTGTCCAATCAGTTCATGTTTCAGAAGAGCTTCAAGGAACAAAGCAAATTTGATGATAATATAGTGCTCTAAGTGTTTGTCTCTATGTCTATGCAAAGAAGACATTGGAATTGTACCGTCATATCGTTTTTAAGTTTCGTTTTTTAAATTAAACTATCTGTATTTTGCTCACTTGGTAGCAAACTTACCACACTGATTAGGTGGTCATTTAATTAAATTCCCATTGAGGCAATGCAAGCTTCCTTGACCTGGATTCCATGTTATCATCATCATTATGTTCTGTGCTGCAATATGTAGGTCATCGTGTTTCGCCATCTCACAGGATCACCTGAGTTCTGGATTATGTCTATGTTCTTGCCCCCACCCCACATCTTTGCCTTCTTTCCCCTTGCTCTTTTAACTCTTGCCAGTCCTCTGATCATCTGTCATGAATAGGACTACTTCATTCTTTTTCTATTATTCCACAATATTCTTTGCATTCTCCTCAAAACCACATCTGCACCGTCAGTAAATGATTTTCAGCCTGTCTGCTCATTTTCTATGTCTCGCTTGCCTATAACAACCCACGTTGTCTTATGTAGATCTAGCCTAAAATGGGTACTAGAAATTTCCTGGGAAGAAAAGGGAACCGATGTCATGTTGACCACATCTCGCATTGAGTTTTTTAAATCTTTTGCTCCTGAAACTTCAAGGATCCCATTTTCAGGATGGCAGACCTGTTGGGAAAATCCCATTCAATGTATTCTTCCTAGGGAGTTATCATTGAGGCCCCCGTAACGGCCACACCCTGCGCTGCCATCGTGCACTCTGCTGTCTTATACGAGTAGCAGTAAAAGTATTTCCCCCCTTCGGGATTGCAGCCTGGAGGTTTCACACCCAGTCAGTGACTCAAAGTTGTGTGTGTATGTATATATATATATATATATATATATATATATATATATATATATATATATATATATATATGTGTGTGTGTGTGTGTGTGTGTGTGTGTGTGTGCGTTCATTCATGCGTGTGTGTGCATGTGTATTCGTTCGTTCCTTTGTTTGTCCACTCTTTCTTTCATCCGTCATCGTTCATGAAACTGCAATTGAATGTTTATGAGTCCGGAGGTGACTTATAAGTCCAATACGTGCCCGGAAGAGTCTAGGACAATGAGGGCAGGGCACTGTGTCTGTAGACAAAGGGCCCGTTTGACGGTTCTTTCCGGTCTGTCTTCGCTGTTCAGCTCTGTGTGTGTGTGTATATATATATATATATATATATATATATATATATATATATATATATATATATATATATATATATATATATATATATATATATATACTGTACAGACCTGATAAGGAGAACTCACCGAAAAACCAAGAAACAGTTCTACTGATAAAAAATTCCTCTTACCCAGACAGAGTTCAAGCAAGAAAGATTGGCTGCATAAGCAAAATGTTCTTCACAACAGAAACTGTGTGTGCGTACATGTGTGTGTGTGTGTGTGCGCGTGCGTGCGTGTGCGTGTAAATGAGTTGGAATGCATTTAAGCATGTATATGTATGAATGTCTGTTAGTTATGAGCATGTATGTATACATTTACTGTCCGTCAATTTGTTTTTTAAACCTTATACTCATATGTATTACTGTTATTTCAATTTAACATGCTTTGTAGATAAAATTACAATTGGTGTGTGAAAGTTGAGTATTAGGAAGGACCAATTTAAGACCCACCTTTTATTTATCAAGATATACAACCTGCTAAAATATTAGTTATAGAAACATTTCAAAGGTGAACATACCAATTTTTTCCACCATGCAAGAGATGGTGCCACAACCAATAATTTGAAGCTCAACATCCATGGGGAACAACTCCATTGATTTCAGCACACTTTTCAGAGTTGTCTCTGTTATCAAACGTTTCTTTGTGTCAACATCTGCATAAAAGATTTGCAAAAGAAATAGAATTAAACAAGAAGGGATATGTTTTCACTTTCCATAAATTATCACTTTGTTATACATATAATTTATGGGATGGTTCAGCCATCTAGTGAGGATAAAGCTTGATCAAACTGCATATGAGACTTTCTACAACAGAATTTCTGGGAGGAAGGTGAGAGGAAGACCAAGAAAGAGATGGATAAATGGTGTAGCTGTATCCTCCAAAATGATGAACATATTTATCCCCCAAGCCACCTGAGAGCACAAGCCAAACACAGAAAACCACGACATTGAGCTACAACCTGGTATCAGTGCGGTAACAAAGGAAGAAGAAGAATAAATAAAAATTTGTCTGGGAAAATTTAGTAAAAGGTCAGTTTCATTACACAAGGGTGGGTTCCTGATGGAGTAATGCTGCGCTATACAAGACTCTTAATGTCTATTAGCCTTTCTTGCTGAAGCCTACTTCACCTTCACGTGGTGGATCCTGTTCTCTTTAGCAATCCAGGGAAAGTTTGGGATCTCAAAACCCATCAATAATACGTTGATATTATTTTGTTGAAAGGTATCCTGATTTTTAAAGTTAGTACACATATCTACATTTGCAGTCTACTTTGTAGAATTTGCGCTGTTAATGGAATTTTTCAAAATGAGCTCTGCTTCGGAGCTTAAATGGAAATGTGTTGTTAACTTCTTGCCTGTATAAGACTGCAAGTTACACTATGCTGGTGCAGCCAACATTGGTGCATTAATGATAACTTTCGTAGAGGTTGAATGGGTATCTGTAATTTGCCCTGTTGGCTTGCCATTTTAATCTCATGTGGCCAAACCAACCTACAGGCAGTCGCCTCGAGGAGGAAAAAATGGAATGTGGGAACATAAATGGAGCCCAAAAATTCTAAAAACTGAAGTTTAATCATGTTAATTCTTTTTTTTTTAAACACACACACACATACATGAATATATATATATATATATATACTGAAATTTGTCATGTTGGTAAAGATGACCATACAAGGAAGAACCAACTTACAAAGGGTCACAACTGCGATTACTTTACAGCAACATCGGTGGATGTTAGCGTTGTCTGTGTATGTATTCATGGCTGACAGTATTACCCCCATTCTGTTCTCTTTCATGAAAGTTATTCGGCCTACATCTGTGGAAACACATAGGAGACAAAGATGTTAGGGGGTCAAGTGTTTCATGACAGTTCTTCTTTTTCTTCTCTTCCACCTTGTACCTCATCGAAGTGTCGGGGGAGATGTAATGTTCATTGATGAGCTCTGTCAAGAGCACTATTAAGACTGATTTTCATTTCTGTAAGGCTGTTTTTAATGCCATCACTCCATGTTTTCCGAGGTCTTCCACTCGCTCTATACCGGTTGTAATGTTTTAGTGTGGCTCGCTGTGGCAGATAGTACCATTCTTGTTAAGTGTCCAAACCACTTCATTTGTTGTTCTTTGATGACCTATAAGACGCTTTATTCCTAGCATTCGTCTGATTTCATGATTTCGTATTCTGTCTTTCCTTGAAACTCCTGCAGCTCTTCTAAGGCATTTAATCTCTGTTGTCACACTTTTACGTTCATTGGAGGATGTAAGTGTCCACGTTTGGCATTGATAGCATAGTTTTGGCCAAAAAATAGTTCTGATAAGATTCACTTTAGTACTCCGAGGTATCTGCTTGTGTGTCAACAGGGGAGATAGTTGCCCCATTACTTTATTAGTTTTGGCACATCTGGAGCTAATTTCTCTGTCCAGTTTTCATGACAGTGATGTGTTCAAAAACATTTGGAAACACATAGGAGACACAGATGTTAGGGGGTCAAGTGTTTAATAACAGCGATGAGTTCAAAAGCATGTGCAAACACATAGGAGACACAACTGTTAGGGTGTCAAGTGTTTCATGACAGTGATGTGTTCAAAAATATGTGGAAACACATAGGAGACACAGATGTTAGGGTGTCAAATGTTTCATGACAGTGATGTGTTCAAAAACATGTGCAAACACATAGGAGACACAGATGTTAGGGGGTCAAGTATTTCATGACAGCGATGTGTTCAAAAACATGTGCAAACACATAGGAGACACAGATGTTAGGGTGTCAAGTATTTCATGACAGTGATGTGTCCAAAAACATGTGGAAACATATACTAGGTTAAATAACAAAACAAAAAAAAATAATTGATACTGTTATTAGGATAGCTATTAAATGTTACGCAATCAGATTTTTTAAGACCATATTATCAGGCATTACACTAAACTCCCCTAAGTGCTAAATGGCACTACACTAAAGTCCCTTAAGTGCTAAATGTTACTCGGTGAAAGTCCCCTAAGTGCTAAATGGTACTCGGTGAACGTCCCCTAAGTGCTAAATGGTACTAAACCAAAGTCCCCTATGTGCTAAATGGTACTTGGTAAAAGTCCCCTAAGTGCTAAAAAAATTACTAAACCAAAGTTCCCTGTCCTAAATGGTACTAGGTGAAAGTTCCCTAAGTGCTAAATGGTACTCAGTGAAAGTCCCCTAAGTGCTAAATGGTACTAGGTGAAAGTTCCCTTAGTGCTAAATTGTACTAGGTGAAAGTCCCCTAAGTGCTAAATGGTATTCGGTCAAAGTCCCCTATGTGCTAAATGGTACTCGGTCAAAGTCCCCTATGTGCTAAATGGTACTCAGTCAAAGTCCCCTAAGTGCTAAATAGTACTAAACCAAAGTCCCCTAAGTGCTAAATGGTACTCGGTCAAAGTCCCCTAAGTGCTAAATAGTACTAAACCAAAGTCCCCTAAATGCTAAATGGTACTCGGTCAAAGTCCCCTAAGTGCTAAATAGTACTAAACCAAAGTCCCCTAAGTACTAAATGGTACTCGGTCAAAGTCCCCTAAGTGCTAAATAGTACTAAACCAAAGTCCCCTAAATGCTAAATGGTACTCGGTCAAAGTCCCCTAAGTGCTAAATAGTACTAAACCAAAGTCCCCTAAGTGCTAAATGCATACTTTCATACATGGGTTTATTAATTGTTTTCATGAACTATGGGATGGCTACTACTGTTAAGCTTTGATATTGTAAAATGTTCACTTATAAAGAAAGATTCAAACAAAAAGACTCATTATAATGAATTGTGTCGATAATATAGAGTGAAAGAAAGGGTATGCTGCAGTTCTACCTTGGCTTATCATGAGCCGCAAATGTGCAAGAGGATTCCCTCTGCAGTCATTGAGGTATACAAGAATATCTTCACCAGTGTGTTACAAAGGTTGATATGAAGTATAATATCTATGAGAACTACATACAAATATGCTCTGACCTGTTTTAACTAGATTCTCTATGGCTTGACAAACGTATAAGCAGACATCAGGGTTATTTTGTATGGATGTGGAAATTCCCGTTAACGTTTGATCTATCAGTGCTGCCTCCTCCTCTTTCAGATCTGAAGAAAATATACAAATTACATAGTAAGTATTTAACCAGTGCATTGTGGATCGAAACAATGTACAATTATTTAAAATGGTCTAAATTAATAGAGTTAAAACAGAATACTTTACAATAATTAAAGGCATCCTAATTTTTTAAAACGTATAAAAATAAGAGTAAATATTAGTGTGCTTTTTAAAAAAGAAAAGATACAAATGTTTTAAATAACATATTATCACCTATGGAGGGATGTTAAATGTTACATTTTGCAATTATGATGAGGGACAGAATTTGCTGGAAATTAGCTGCAAGACTGCATCAGCATTTTCTTGTTAAGAAACTGATTACATGTGTGTTTTAAGCTTAGATGACTGACATTAGTGCACAATACTTTATCACCATACTTTAAGATAGAAGGAAAATAGTCATTACATAAAAAAAAATGTTTACATACTATGCTAGGTGTAACGAGGAAAAATCGACTTAGGAATGATAATATCAGGAGGAGAATCGGCACAGAACCAATACTGAAACTTATAAGTAGACAACAAATTAAATGGTTTGGCCATGTAACAAGATTGGCAGCAGACAGGGCACCACAGAGAGCCATTTTAAACAGATACAGCGGTTAGAAACCCACAGATCGACCACGCAGAAGATGGGCTGCAGAAATATCAGAGACACTGAAAGGTACTATATACGAAGTGAACAGAAGGGCCCGTTCTAGAGATCTCTTCCTCCCCTGATGTCGTGAGGCATTCCAGGAGAAGGAAAAAGAATAAATTAGAAGAAGAAGAAGAAGAAGACTTTATCCCCAATTGCTAGCAGTCCATTAAGAACACTGCACAAAGCGTAGCTCCATTAAAGATCTCCAGAAATCTCGAAAAAGCTGCAATCAGAAATGTTAACTCTCAGAGCACCAGTAAAATGACTAAATCCTCTTTATGACTAAATCCTCTTTATAAATAAATCCTCTTTGACTAAATCATTTTTCACCCTGGAAAGACTGCCCCCCCCCCCCCCCCCCCCACCAATTTTCCCAATTTATTCACCTCCTGTAAGCGCTCGCATGTTTATACATTGTATAAATATAAATTCCATTATTTATTGCCAAATCCACATAATGGTGAATATAGAATAACCATTATTCTTAATTTCTAGTATTCACTAAATAGCATGCAGACGCTCCTGCATCTACCTACACCCAGTTTTCATGTTGCCTAGTGTACCCTTCTGTCTTTTTTCTTCTTTCTATGAGCGTCATCAATGTATTGTCTGTTTGTTTATTACATGTAATGTTTCTACAGCCTCAATGTTTCCCCGTCTGTTTATTTATGTGTATTATGTGCTACACCATTACATCATACACTTCAGACCTTTTGTGAGCTTACCTGGCAACTCAGTTACCCCACATAAAACCATGGCAATGAAGACAAGAATGTCTGGCTGGTTGCCATGGATACTGACTAGTGATACAATTGTCTCCAGGCCATGCTCATCTAGTAACAGATGGCAGACCTCCTCTGAAAAAAAAGGGCAAAACAAAATGATTTTTTAAAAGCAATAGTAAGGAAATATTCAGCATTATTAAGTGCCTTCAAGACTGACATGGTCGATGATACCTCTCCATAATCTGCAATCTGCAGCAGCCGGCATAAGTTCATGTACTGACACCTTTCCGTGCCATGACACAAAACTGTCAATAATCTTCTCGTGGTGTCTTGCTCTATCTCTTTTTCCACAGATATTTCCAGTGATCAAAACATATTCCAATTTTTCCAACTCATAACATACACATGAACCTATGACTGTCTATGCTAACTGGTTATACACAACTGACAGCATTGTCCAAGCTAACTGGTTATACACACCTGACAGTACTGTCTAAGCTAACTGGTTATACACAACTGACAGTACTGTCTAAGCTAACTGGTTATACACAACTGACAGTACTGTCTAAGCTAGCTGGTTATACACAACTGACAGCATTGTTTAAGCTAACTGGTTATACACACCTGACAGTACTGTCTAAGCTAACTGGTTATACACTACTGACAGCATTGTCCAAGCTAACTGGTTATACACAACTGACAGCATTGTCCAAGCTAACTGGTTATACACACCTGACAGCACTGTCTAAGTTAACTGGTTATACACAACTGACAGCATTGTCCAAGCTAACTGGTTATACACAACTGACAGCATTGTCCAAGTTAAGTGGTTATACACAACTGACAGCATTGTCCAAGCTAACTGGTAATACACAACTGACAGCATTGTCCAAGCTAACTGGTTATACACACCTGACAGCACTGTCTAAGTTAACTGGTTATACACAACTGACAGCATTGTCCAAGCTAACTGGTTATACACAACTGACAGCATTGTCCAAGTTAAGTGGTTATACACAACTGACAGCATTGTCCAAGCTAACTGGTAATACACAACTGACAGCATTGTCCAAGCTAACTGGTTATACACACCTGACAGCATTGTCCAAGTTAAGTGGTTATACACACCTGACAGCATTGTCCAAGTTAAGTGGTTATACACACCTGGCAGCATTGTCCAAGCTAAGTGGTTATACACACCTGACAGCATTGTCCAAGCTAACTGGTTATACACAACTGACAGCATTGTCCAATTTAAGTGGTTATACACAACTGACAGCATTGTCCAAGTTAAGTGGTTATACACAACTGACAGCATTGTCCAAGTTAAGTGGTTATACACAACTGACAGCATTGTCCAATTTAAGTGGTTATACACAACTGACAGCATTGTCCAAGTTAGGTGGTTATACACAACTGACAGCATTGTCCAAGCTAACTGGTTATACACACCTGGCAGCATTGTCCAAGCTAACTGGTTATACACATCTGGTAGCATTGTCCATGCTAACTGGTTATACACATCTGACAGTATTGTCTAAGCTAAAAGGATATTCACAACTGACAGTTTTGTCTAAGCTTAGCTAACTTAATATTCACAACTGATAGCATTCTCTAGGCTTACAAGACATTAGCTGAGACGGCATTACCTAAGCTAACTGATTGTACACAACTGACAGATCACCTAAGCTAACTGGTTTTGTACAGAACTGACAGATCACCTAAGCTAACTGGTTTTGTACAGAACTGACAGATCACCTAAGCTAACTGGTTGTACACAACTGACAGATCACCTAAACTAACTGGTTGTACAGAACTGACAGATCACCTAAGCTAACTGGTTGTACACAAACAGATCACCTAAACTAACTGGTTGTACACAACTGACAGATCACCTTAGCTAACTGGTTGTACACAACTGACAGATCACCTAAACTAACAAGACAGTACATTTGCTCCTGACATTTGCTAAGCTAACAAGACATCTATCAGAGCTGGCAGCATTACTCATGCTGACAAGATAAGACATTCACAACCGACATTACCTAAATTGACAAGACAGGACATTCACAACTAACAGCATTACCTAAAGTGACAAGACAGGACATTCCCAACTGACATCATTACCTTAAGTAATAAATGACATTGTTAACTCAAGTAACAAGACAGGTCATTCACAAATGACAGCATTACCTAAAGTAACAAGACAGGACATTAACAACTGACAGCATTACCTAAAGTAACAAGACAGGACATTAACAACTGACAGCATTACCTAAAGTAACAAGACAGGACATTCATAACTGACAGCCTTACCTAAAGTAACCAGACAGGACATTCACAACTGACAGCATTACCTAAAGTAACAAGACTGGACATTCACAACTGACAGTATTACCTAAAGTAAAAAGACAGGACAGTCACAACTGACAGCATTACCTCAATTACCAAGACAGGACATTCACAACTGACAGCATTACCTAAACTGACTAGGTTTCCTAGTGCCTTCAGCGCACATAGAACGATGTTGGTATCTTTGATAAACTCCCGTAATGTGTTCAGCAATGAAGGAACAGCCCCTGCGTTTTTTATCCTTACTTTGTTATCTTTACCTGAAAATTGTAAAAAGCAATAATTTACAACTGAGCTAGACTTTAGACATTTAAACGTTACAAAGGTGACGCTAAGGGCAATGTTTGGTGCCTTACAGTGTTGGATTTAGGTATAAACTAAATAAGCTATAAAGGGCCTCAAAACTTTAAACTAACTCCTGTTTTTCCTTCACAAATGCAAGTTTTGTTTTAATATTTTTAGAGCCTTTTAGAAGACTGCATAATATAATGTACCTGTGATTTTGCAAACATATTCTGGTTAAAGTAACGTTTTCCACCACAGAAAGAAAGTGACTTAATTTCCCATTCAAGCCTCGTCACGTCGCAGGGACTTTCCTATGTTGTAGGGTTTTATGATATGACTTGGTTTGGCATTCGCTCGGTGTTTATAATGTTTGTAGGAGGTTGTGTTGTTGTGAGTCTCTTTGAAGCACCACAGGCGCCTGTGTACAAGTAAGAAGTACTGCAGGGGAAAGCACCGCAGGCACGATGATTTGTGAGTATGAAAACTAGGATGTTTTTGTATTCTACGTTTGTTGGCTGTAGCTTCCCACATAAACTGAGAAGGCACTGGCAAGAAAGGTATAAATACAGAAAACACCCCAATTTTCGTGAACCTTCACGCAGGTAGCAGAATGTGACAATAATCACACAAGTGAGCGGTGAGAAGTTGAGAAAAGAGAGAATAATTAAAGCATTGACAATAAGGAATACACAACATCCCCGCAACATCGGAGACGCCCTGCGACCCGATGAGGCACGAATGGGAAGGGAAGTCGCTTTCTTTCTGCAGTGGAAAACGTTTCTTGTACCCATATATTTTTTCAAACGGAAATTAAACAACAGTATATTCCCATTACCCAGATATTAAAAATGTGTGTATATTTTAAACTGTTCTGAGACTAGCTGAAAATGGTAGGGGTCTTGGGGCTTTTATAGCATAGGGCCTCATCAAGTTTAAATTTGGTCCAGGGCCTCAAGATACACTAATTTGTGTAGGATTCAAACCTGCACGAAGGCGTTTTTTTTTTTTTTTTTGTTTTTTTTTTTTTTTGGAGAGAAGATCTCTGTAAGCTTAACACAGAAAACTGAAAGCCTCTGCTAGCAGAAGCTGCAGATAAGATACAATGTAGTGAACTGATGTATGACAAGTTCAGGTCCTTATGTATATATAAGTAGAGAAGGCCGTGGACAAGTTATATGTTGTGAGGGTCTTTTGGGAGTGAGTGAACACTCAAGGGCTCAACACTTAAGGGAACGGTGAGACGGATGTACAATCAGACAGCTACTGGTACCATCGAAACTGGAACGCTTCGCTTTCTGCTGAAGATGGGGACAGAGCACTTACAGGAGTACCCCGAGTGTTATGATGTCAATTCCTAATTCAACATTCAAATGTATCTTTTATCAAATTCATCAACAAAGAGGGTTATAACAAATTCATTAACTAACAGGGCTACAATAACACAGCTGGTGTACTATGACACCAGAAACGAAATATCTGCTGGTGTACTGTGACAAGAGAAACTTACTGTCTGCTGGTGTACTGTGACAAGAGAAACTTACTGTCTGCTGGTGTACTGTGACAAGAGAAACTTACTGTCTGCTGGTGTACTGTGACAAGAGAAACTTACTGTCTGCTGGTGTACTATGACAAGAGAAACTTACTGTCTGCTGGTGTACTGTGACAAGAGAAACTTACTATCTGCTGGTGTACTGTGACAAGAGAAACTTAATATCTGCTGGTGTACTGTGACAAGAGAAACTTACTATCTGCTGGTGTACTGTGACAAGAGAAACTTACTATCTGCTGGTGTACTGTGACAAGAGAAACTTAATATCTGCTGGTGTACTGTGACAAGAGAAACTTAATATCTGCTGGTGTACTGTGACAAGAGAAACTTAATATCTGCTGGTGTACTGTGACAAGAGAAACTTAATATCTGCTGGTGTACTGTGACAAGAGAAACTTAATATCTGCTGGTGTACTGTGACAAGAGAAACTTAATATCTGCTGGTGTACTGTGACAAGAGAAACTTAATATCTGCTGGTGTACTGTGACAAGAGAAACTTAATATCTGCTAGTGTACTGTGACAAGAGAAACTTAATATCTGCTGGTGTACTGTGACAAGAGAAACTTAATATCTGCTGGTGTACTGTGACAAGAGAAACTTACTATCTGCTGGTGTACTGTGACAAGAGAAACTTAATATCTGCTGGTGTACTGTGACAAGAGAAACTTAATATCTGCTGGTGTACTGTGACAAGAGAAACTTAATATCTGCTGGTGTACTGTGACAAGAGAAACTTACTATCTGCTGGTGTACTGTGACAAGAGAAACTTAATATCTGCTAGTGTACTGTGACAAGAGAAACTTAATATCTGCTGGTGTACTGTGACAAGAGAAACTTAATATCTGCTGGTGTACTGTGACAAGAGAAATTTACTATCTGCTGGTGTACTGTGAAAAGAGAAACTTACTGTCTGCTGGTGTACTGTGACAAGAGAAACTTACTGTCTGCTGGTGTACTGTGACAAGAGAAACTTACTATCTGCTGGTGTACTGTGACAAGAGAAACTTACTATCTGCTGGTGTACTGTGACAAGAGAAACTTAATATCTGCTGGTGTACTGTGACAAGAGAAACTTACTATCTGCTGGTGTACTGTGACAAGAGAAACTTACTATCTGCTGGTGTACTGTGACAAGAGAAACTTACTATCTGCTGTCAGATTCATCAAGGCCAGGCAGCCAACCTCCTGGATGTCCGCGATGGAGTCCAGGGTTAACATGGCTGATATCACTGCTTTGGAGGCACCCGCACCTTCTACTAATTTTCTTAAGTCATCTGTCGAGAGAATAAATCAAAGTTAACACAGCATGGCTCATTTGTCAGTGACAGCTGGAGAACCACTTAATTAAGATATGGAACGAAAGTTAAATGTATTCAAAAACAAATGCAGGGGCCCTTGTGTGGGTTTGGGGCCCTATTACAGGGAAAACAAGAATAGACCCACTGCCTACCAAAAAAGCATGTCGTAAGAGTCGACTTGAGAGGCAAGGAACCAACATTCTGCACACAAATATGTCAGATCTGTCAAATGGATGCACGCGCAGCACTCAGGTTCTGGAACAGGACTGCAGTCCAGAAGTGTACGAACAACCAGAACTTTCCACCAGAATTTACAACTGGTGAACCAAAGAAGAAGAAGAAATGCCAGAAACGCTTTCTGGCATACTAGACGGATAGTTTATAGACCAGGCTGCACTCGGTTCGTGATGTGACTAACATCGCGCCAGCCACCTTTACTTCCCAGAACTGTACCTGGTACACCAGCTATGTCGACCTGGAAGGCAAAGTCATTTAAAAAAAAAAAAAAAGTCTAGCTTCGTCATGACCCGAACTCACTATCTTCTGATCCTCAAGCAAACGTCTAGCCTATACACCATGGCGGCCCCTGAAGTGGCTGTTGTTTTGGCATAATTCTTCTTCACCCCCTTTATATCCCAATTGAGTGAAGACCCTCAACCAACTCACGCCGAGTCATTCTATCCTTTATATCTCATGCAGCTCACCTTTTATCCTCCCAAATCATTTGAACTTCACATTAAAATAGCCCCTCTTATCTTGGGTTTTGAAAAAGTTAGTTGCGTATCCTTTACGTGGCATTGCAGAACCAACCCCATCATTTTTTCGGCTCTTGTGGTTTTTCTAGGCAACTTAATGTCCAGTACTTTTTATCTTGGGTAGCTGATTATTATACGTTACTTTTCTGTAGATTTCTTCATGGGTGGTTGGTTTTTGTGGCTACTGTCTTTACGGGATGAGGTAAACAATTCAAAGTCCAATCCTATCCATAGTCACCTCTTACGACATGCTTGGTAGAGTGTTTGTTACCCTTCTTTAGTCTTCTTCTTCGATCCTTCTGTCAGAAAACTTATATCCGGAGGCCGGTAGCCTTTATGAAAGCTATCGTGCATTCCATATCCTCTCGTGTACCATACAGTTTTGTCTTCAGTGTGGTTGGAACAGGCCAAATTGCGTCTCTGTTGTCAGCAAATAGTTGACAGTGTTGGAGCACATGCTCAGCATTTTCGGGTGCCACGCTGCAGGGACACATCTCCGTATTTCCTACACCGAAAAATTATGACGAAATATGTTGACGAAATCTGTTGTGCCCTGTCCTTAGTCTGAATATAATACACTGTCCCTCTCTAGAGAAGCGAGGAAGTGAGTCTTGGGTTGAACATCTGGTGTGGGTATCCAGCCACCTTTCTTGGATACTAGATTGTATTAGTGTTTTCATCTCTTGGTGGGTTCAGTCGCTATTTGGTTGTACCATGTCACTGCCGCGCACGAGATGACACTTGTCACGGTGGCATGTAGCAATAGTGATTAATGAGGATTAACTTCACAGTACTCCAGACTTATCCACATAAACTCTGACCTCCTCTTTAGAAGCTCCACAGGTGTAAATAACTGACAACGCCTGTTCTGTGTTGATTAGTCAAGCTTCTTGTACCCTTAGTCAAATTAATTATACAACTGCTGTGTGAAAGATGGATGCTTGAAAGGACCAAATGTAAAACGAGCCTGCGTGCCCAATTTGTTACTCTTTGAAAATAAGGCTCTCCTCCGAATTTCTACCCCGGCATTATGGCGGCCGAACAAATATCTTTACGGGGCTCAGTCCTATAAAAAAAATATGCGAACTTTCGGCGACGAACGAATCGCGACAAAACTAGGATTACCTGACAATTTCAAGAGATGCAACACTGCAGACGATAGTAGCAGACGAAAATAGCGACCGTTGACACTTTCGAGCATTTCTGCAGACAATACTAGCAGACGATACTAGCGACCATTGGCAATTTCGAGACACGCAACATTACTGACGATAAAAGCCACATGGCGGGGAGACCACTTGCGCCAACGCAGATTAGCGTTGTTGTTCACCTCAAACTTTTTGGCATGCGAAAAACGCGGTTACACTCACCGCTGACCGTATCCCAAGCGCCGCTACGCGGCGCGGATGGGGGCTAAACTAGGTTCCTGGGACTCACGAGCAAATTAATTGGAGGAAGTTGCAGGAGATGCGGTAGATGCTGCTCGTGAGTTCCAGCCATCTAGTTTTGAAGCCCGCCCAGGCTTTGGCCGGGGGCCCTGAATATAGACTGACCATAAATATGGCCAAAATGATAAAAGGGGTTTGTGGGACCTCTCCATAGGTGATCCTCATCTGCATGGTGGCACTTTGTGTCACCGGGTGTTTATCACTTGTGTGATGTCCTGGTGGGGTACAACAAGAGAGAAGAGAGAGAAGACGTGGGCATAAACGTTTTGACAAATGTCTTTAACATCGAACAAAACAATAAGAAGCGTTTACCGTGAACAGCCATATTTCCAATGATCTTACAGCCATGCTCCTGGATGAGCTGATTCTCTGGGAGGTTCATCATGGCTTTGATGATCTCCTGTATACACTTGGACTCTGCCAGATTTCGGTACATGTCTGTGGTATAGAAAACAAGTGGGTTCACGTCTAGAAACACAGAACACTCTCAAAATAATAAGAATGTCTGCAATATCACAAGCTTCTTCTTCTTCTTCTTCTTCTTCTTCTTCTTCTTCTTCTTCACTTCCTCTTTTACCGCTGTGGGTGTCGAGGGAGATATAAGGTTCTGTTTCTAGCTCTTCTGGCTGCCTCGACCATAGGCACATCGTACTGTTGTAGAGTTTCTCTGATGTTATCCTTCCATCTTGTTCTTGGTCTACCCCGTGCTCTACGTCCTTCTTTTCTTCCCATGTATGCTTTGTATGGTATGGTGTCACAAGGCATTCTCTCTAAGTGGGCAAACCATTTCACTAGTTGTCTTTGTATGTAATCCAGAATTGGTTCTGTGCCGACTTGTTCTCTTATGATCTCATTTCTGATCTTATCTCTTATGGTCACTCCTACAGCCCTTCTCAGACATCTCATTTCCGTGGTTACTAATTTTCTTTTATGGTTTGTTGTGAGTGACCATGTCTGGCACTGGTAGCACAGAGTTGGAATAAATATGCTTTGAATAAGATGTCTCTTTGTGCTGATTGGGATTGTCTTATGCTGTAAGAGGGGGGGGGGGGGCTAGCTGTCCCAATACTTGGTTTGCTTTACTGCATCTAATGTCAATTTCTTTATCCAATTTCCCATCTTCGGTAAATGTAGTTCCCAGATATTTAAACTCAGCTGCCTGTTTAATGCCTTTGTATTCTATTGTTATGTTTAGATCTGTCTTATTTTTTCCTATTGACATTACTTCTGTCTTTTCAGTGTTGATTCTCATATTATTTGTTTTACATTCTTCATTCATGGATGTTAGATGTTGTTGCAATTTCATAGCTGTATCTGCTATCAAGGCCTGGTCATCTGCAAAGAGTAATTCGTTGATCTTACTAAGATCTTCATTCATGGGCTTGGCATTCTTGCATATACTGTCGATGTAGGTGATAAACAGCAGTGGTGATAAGACACACCCCTGTCTTACTCCAGATGTCCCTGTGAAAGGATGAGATGTTCCCTGATTTATTCTAACTACACTTCTACAATCCCTGTATAAACTTTTGCACACTTCGATGAGGTGTTCGCTTACTCCATATCTTGCCATTATTTTCCATAATAATTGTCTGTCGACTCTGTCAAATGCCTTCTCCTGGTCTACGAATGCCACAAATAAGTTCTTATTGTATTCAATGTTCTTTTCTATTAACTGTTTAAGTGTGAAGATTGCATCTGTGCAGCTTCTATTTCTCCTAAATCCCATCTGTTCTTCTGCCAGCTGTGGTTCTATCACTGGTCTCAGTCTTGTTTCTATTATCTTGGCCTACATTTTGCCAACATGGCTTAAAAGAGAGATGCCTCGATATTGACCGCATTCTCGTTTGCTTCCTTTGTTCTTCCACAATGGTATAACTATTGCATGTTGCCAATCAATAGGGGCCGTTTGTTGTACCCATGCTGCATTGAATATTCTGTGAAGCCATCTGATGCTGCTTTCACCTGCTGCTTGAATTATTTCTGTTGGTAATCTATCAGCTCCTGGTGCTTTATATTTGGGAGACTGTTTAATGACTTTTTCTATTTCATCCATTAGTATGTGTGGTTCTAACACTGTTGCTCTGTGCTCTTCAGTTGTTCTTTCCTGATGATCTCCTAGAGGATTAAAGAGCTCATTGAAGTATTCCCTCCATCTTTCTGCAATCTCGGGTGGATCTATCAGTGGCCTTCCTGTCTTATCATTAATTATTTCAGTGGGGTTGTAGCTCTCATCTCTTTTCCGCATATTTTTAACCACTTTGAAAAATTTTCTGCTGGCTGTTTTCTCATTTTCTGCTAGTGACTCACCGAAACGTTACCAGGATGCTTGTTTTGCTTTCTTGACACTCCTGTTGGTTTCTCTCCTTTGCAGTCTATAGTTTATATAATCTTCTTCTTTCTTTGATTTTATCCACTGTTTATATAAGTCTTTTTTCTTTTTAATTGCTTCTTTTACTTCTTCGCACCACCAAGGTGAATATTTGTTATTTCCCCGTCTGTTTCCACTCTTCCGTTTTCCACATATCACAAGCTTCAAGCAGTGGTTATATGTTCGCATGCCACCGCGAATGTCTGGGTTCAATTCAGCATCGGCAGAATCTTTTTTTTTTATCCACCTTGTCCCCTAGTCCTATATGCCCAATATGCATTAAAGCGTTAAAGCTGATTGTCAACTTTACCTTTTTTTTAAATACATATATAGGTCTGGTACTTTATATTAAAGGCTTAAAAGGGTGCCTTAATATTGTCTTACCTAACTAATCTACACAACTGGTAATATAAAATATTCAACAGGATATCCTTAAATAAAACGACACGACACGACAGTTACAGAACATTAAAAACTTCGCTCCCGTTGTGTTAATTAATTGCTTTGAACATACATCATATAGACACTGACCTTCACCCAACATGACCTGGCTGATGGTAATGAGGACAATCTCCAGTAATTCAACACTGTCTGGAAAGTTCACTAGGGCCTTCTGTAACAAGCTGACCACCGGCTGGGAACTCACAAACTCGACAGTACTTTCTGCAACAGCCACATAATACACATATACATAGTGCCATATACATTTTTTTTTTAAAATTTGTTCAAAATTTTTTTTTTTGGTATCCAGAAGCCATGAGTTGTTAACCCTTAGGCTCGGTATTATGGATATCGCATCCCTTCGGCCTTGATTCCATGATAAATACCGTAAATCTGGGAGAAATGTGGCTTTTCTACCTACCCCCGGGCGTAAACCCGGACCACAAGGAGTTCGTCACACGGTCACCGCGCAGTCCGGTTTAGCCAACTACGCTAGAGAGCCGGGCATAATAAAAAGTGTAGTTAGATTTTACAAACACCCTTTATAAAATATTTTACAGAATGGCAGGAAGATTTGCTGTCGAGGAGTGGCTGGACTGTAAGTTAAAAATCCCAGCGGCAAAAACAAAATTCTAACCTGCATAATCTACTGGTGACTTTACTGACTGACTCACTTTCTCCCCCACCAGGACATCACACAAGCGACAAACACCCGATGACACAAAGTGCCACCATGCGGATGAGGATCGCCGTGGAGAGGTCGCCGCGTTCAGACAATTGGCCACATTTGCGGCCCTCTGCAAAAGTCAGGGTGGGGCTTCAAATAACAAAAAAATTCGTCCTAAAAAGGACGAAACTGGATTATATTGATGACTTTACTTGATACGCAGCCTTCAATGCTCGTACTTAGGCACAAGAACTCCTACCCATCACCCTCATCATCCCGTAAAACTGCGTGTTGTTGGGTCACCAACTGCCGTTGACTGTCTGATCCGCTCCCTCCATCTTTGAAGGTCAGATCCCTCCATCTTTGAAGGTCAGATGCAATGGACTTCATGTCTGCATGCTTAAGGCCTGTACAAGTTCTGTATCAGGGTATTTCTTGGTCTGTCTCTCCTTCTCCTCTTGAGAGCCCTGTAGAATTGTTGTTGTTCTTTTTGTTTTTTAAGGCTATTACATCTTATTACATAACCATACCATTTTCCATCTTTTCACTGTAGTTAAACAAGGTTCACAGTTGCCAGTGTGTCAGGTAATTAAACGCATGTACACAGCCCTAGAAAGTGGTAAATACAAACAGTAAAGGCAAGAACATGTACAATAAAGAAATGAGTAAAGACTTACCACAGGAACTCATGTTGTAAAGGACTCGGCAGCCATACTCCTGGAGATTCTCTACTTTTGGGTATTCTTGGATGGCATCCAGGATTACTCGGATGCATTCTAGTCTGACAATCTCCTCACAGGTAGCGTCTGGCAAGATTCAGACGGATGAGTGAATTGATGGAGGGTGGATGTGTTGATGGATGGATGGATGCATGGGTTGATGGATGGATGTGTACGGATTAAATTATAGGCAGTTCTTTTGAAGGACACCTAATTCTATGAATGTCTAGATAGGTAGTTAGAATGATACATGTAGCGTAAAGACAAAAATAATTGATCTTACCAACAGTTCAGACGACATCAAAATAAACAAATACATTTGTGAAAAAGTCAACAGCTTTACATAACTAAGGAGTAAGATGACATCTAGAGGGGACTCAGCGCCAGAAATATCATCTAGAAACGCACTAGCATGTAGTACTTTTAACAAACTGTCAAACATCAGGAAGTCAAAGACCCTCAGCAAACACACGAAACTTTGTGAGAGTTGGAAAGCAACGGTAGCTCTAGATAAAAAATTTGACCGTTCTGAGTGAGAACAAATGTCTTAGAAGAATAGTAAAGCTCAGCCTGACCTATTTTCGATCAAATACACAAATAAGACAAAAAAAAAACAACCAAGACAATATATCAAATTTTATAAGAAAGTGCTGCTGGAATTATATCGAACATGCACTCGGAACATATAAGACAAGACTCCCCAATCAAGCCCTCATATGGAAACCGGAAGGTAAAAGAAAACATGGAAGACCAAGAGAGACTCTACGTAGAATCAACATCACGAAAGGCTCAACCATAGGCCTAACAAACCCAAAGACCTAAAGCTGGTGGCAACGAGCCACCAGACATGGAGAGCTATGACCTCTGCCCTCTGCGCCTCACGAGGCTCAAGAAGAGAGACTAACTAACTAACCTGTAGCAGTGAGGCTGGCCAGGGCCCAGCAGCCACACTCAGCCACGGTGACGTTGGAGTTGGGAGACTGCATGGCTGCCAGAACGGCACTGGTGGCTCCAGCGGAAGCGATGTCCTGGCACGTCTCATCTGTGTTAGGAATGTATCAGGTCGAGTTGTATCGGGATTATTAGATATTAGAAGGTCAAACATTCTAAGATATTAAAGGATTATAAGGTCAAATAATGTCATGATAATAAATAATTATGAGGTCAAATTGTAGTAGGCAACCGTCAGTCCCTGGGGACCATGGAGTTGTACTGCTGGTTTTAAGCACAGCATATGCTTTGTAAAGTCCAGTGTATGAGTGGCGATCTCTGGCACAAAGTCCACATAAAAATTTTGATACTCTACCATTGTTAGGCTGGTTTTCTCACAGACATCTCCTTTCTATAGCGTGCTGTGTTTGGCCTCTTGCAAACTGCAACAGTTGTTTTTTCACTGTCTGCCTCCAGAGGATTTGATCTGCAGCTGATCTGTCCCAAATGTCTATGCAAATGTTGATATCTGTTACATCGCATTTGCATATGTTTTTATGGCATAGCATTGACCTACCTGCAGAACTTAACCCTGTTACCAGTTCGCCATAAGGGGAACCTTTAGAATGTGACCATCCTCCATGCGAGAGACTTGTCCAACCAGTACAGTCGTTCTTGCTTAAGTAGAAAGTACATTGCTGTCATGCTTGCTCGTTTTAGTATACATTAGTTAGGGACAAAGTGAAGTCTGTATTTTCATATACCACAAGCAAGGCAAAATCAGAACTAACTGTCTGTTTACATTACAGTTACTTTCCTGCGAAGACATGATTATTAACAGACTGCATGCCAAATCTGGACAATTTAGACCGAATGGTTACTGAGTTACATATTTTAAAATTTGTTATAGAATCTAATTACATGCTAATATGCCTGTCTGTAGACTTGAAGTTGAAGTGCAATTAGAAATCGCAAAATGCAGATGAGCATAATTGACATTGGCAGTCAGCAAGGCACTTGATGATGATGATGATGAATTTCTTCAAGGAAAGACGCTCCCAATATAAAGGACTTGATATTGCTTCAAACTTCAACCTTAACCATCAAAATGTGGCTGGCACATTGTGATTAGTGATTAGTGATTAGTGATTAGAAAGGATTATCATCACAGCACTCCGGACAGATCCATGTGTGCTCCGATCTCCTCCTTAAAAGCTCCACAAATGTAAAACGACTGATCTATGTTGGTTAATGAAACGTCTTGTCCCCTTAGTGAAATGTTCATTTCTTGCAGCTTCAGGCTGCACCCCCATGTCCATCAGTCTAGACAGGGATACGGAGTCATGTCCTTTGGTGTGCTCCTCTGTACGGTAAGTGCAGCGCACGGCATTGATAACATCACTTCTGTCCAGTACTGGGCCAGCCATAGCAACTGCAGTGTCAGCAAGATAGTCTGCACGCTCGTTTCTTTGAACACCCGCATGACCTAGCACAAAGATAAAGGTTAGGGCAGATATTCGTGAAGTGCTTAGTGTTTCAATCCATTCTTACATGAGAAATCCAGCTTGGATTTTTTAAAGCATATTCATCGAGTCACTAAGAATGCATGCATGTGTGAACTTTTGAGTTCCAAGCCATGCTAAAGCCCTTGTTACAGCCATAGTTTCCATTGTAAGGCTACTAGTTGTAACAGCAAAGGCGCCATTCATCTCCTTAATGGCACACTGTGTTGTGGTTTAAAGCCAGTCTATGATATTTGCGCCTTTCGGTACAACACATTTGATTTCAGCAAATGCTTAGTCCCCTTTTATGACATGCTTGCCAAGGGGAATGGGTCTGTTCTCTCCACCCCCCCCCCCCCCCCCCTCCCCACCCGTCCCAACCCCCAGTGGATCTGGTCTGGAATCGAAAACAAAGAACTCCTGTGAACAATTATAATTCTGTTTAATCAACATCCCCTTTTCTTACCGTAGATAGCAAAACTTCCTATGGTCCGGCAGGCATTTTCTAGAATTTTCTCATCGTCCGGGAACATTTCCACCATGCTGATAATTGTGTGAACACCGCCCACCAGCATTACTTGGTGAACTGCTTCCACTGTTCAGACAGGAAACTGTACAATGTATTACTGACAAACAAAGAAATCGTTTCTGATAAAGAGTACCGCTAAAGAATTACAAAGCAGAGTATGATTGCTTTAGTAGAGGGTGGATGAGACACTCACCCTCCTCTGCTGCCGCTTCTTCTTCTTCTTCTTATCATAATATATATATAATAAATAGTATTATTATTATATATTATTATTATTTTGGTTCTTCTTCTTCTTATCATAATATATATATAATAAATAGTATTATTATTATTATTACTATTATTATTATTTTGGTTCTTCTTCTTCTTCTTCTTCTTCTTCTTCTTCTTCTTCTTCTTCTTCTTCTTCTTCTTCTTCTTCTTCTTCTCTTCTTCTTCTTCTTCTTCTTCTTCTTCTTCTCCATCTTCTTCTTCTTTTTCTAAATAGCATCTAACACTAAAGCATAAGTCCTCAACGACCCACACCAAGTCATTTGTAGACTAGGTCATGATTGGCTGAATTTTGCAGCTACATAACTCTAGTGGTTGAGTTCCAGTGCTATCGGGGATCGCAAGATACAGAGGAGTGTGGTCTTTAATGCCATTCGGTAAGGGACTTCCTGATGACGATGATGATGACGACGACTACAGTTTGATTTGGTTTAAACAATGGATCAACATTGTGGCACAAGTTTAGTAATCCATAAGTGCTTGGTTCTACTTCGAACGCAGGTTTGAGTATGAAGAATCACAGCACAGTGCACGAACTTCGTAGCACCGGCGAGGATCCTGAAATACTTTGGGTAGATTTTTAACTCAAAATTTTGTCTGGGCAGCGCCGTTAGGCTACTCTTTTTTATTTCCAACTGCGATGGGATTTTTTTACGTGCGCAACAATACACACAGGCGTCAAATCCTACTATCCAGAGGCCATGGGAAATTACTAGAAGTCAACGAGAAAACAAAATTCCAGCGTTCACCGGTGACTCAACCCGGGACCCCCAGCACTCGAGGCGGATACCATGCCTTGAGACCACTCACTTGATACCCCCACGACGACATTGATTAAGATGATAATAAAGAAAAAGATGGTAAAGAAATGTGAATAACACTCCCAATATACAAGGTTTAATACATCTTTACATTTCTTTTGTGTACCCCGTCAAAAGAGCGGTTGCGGGTTGTGTTGATGTTTACAGATTGTTATATCTGTACCTTTCAGCCCAATACATCATTTGATTTCAGCATACCCCTTAATTAGTCGCCCTTTACGACATGCTTTAGCGGACATTGGGTCTGTTCTTTTGTTCCCTGACAACTGTGCCCGGAACACACAAAATGGGGGTGGAGAGGTGGTAAAGAGCCAATGCAGTCTGCAGAGAGACCTCTACCAAATGAGATCAAACCAAACGAGGTTTAAGTAGACTTCAAAGAAATAGCGTCTATACTTAGGAACAGAAGTTCAAATGGTTTAGTCATCTAGTTAGAATGGAGCCACCCAGGTCCTACGCTAAAATGATCTGACGTCAAAGCACAAGGGCTCCCAAGCAGAATATGTGTAGATGACGAAGACATTCTAAATCCATATGAATGATAAGAGCCAGCACTAACCGAAATGCGCTTGGTCGCAAACTTTTCCTCTGGACGGTACTTGATGTCACAGATGGAAGCTGATAACGAATATGATTATGATGATGATGAGGATGATGATGGTGATGAGGATGATGATGATGAGGATGATGATGTTGATGATGGTGATGAGGATGATGAGGATGATGATGATGTTGATGATGATGACGGCGATGTTGATGGTGATGAGGATGATGATGTCGATGATGATAATGAACATGACGATGATGACCATGACGATGATGGTGATGATGATGAGGACGACGACGATGGTGGTGATGATAGTATGACGATGATTATTATGATGATGATGGTGGTGGTGGTGATGATGATGGTGGTGGTGGTCGACTGACCAGTAACATATACTTCATACCTGTGACTAGGAGATTGCCAATGATAAAGCAGCCCTCGCGAACGATCTCGATGTTGGAGGCATGCCGCGACATGGCACTGAGGATGTCAGAGTGCATGCCTCCAGATACCAGCTGAGAAGCCAGATCCACTGAAAAAGGAACAGTGGCGTCTATTGGTTTAGATTATACCTAATGATCTTTGTGTGGTGTGATAGTCACAAACGGGAGGTCATGCAACTACAACCTACATGGGGGGCGGGGGAGGGAAATGTACATGTTGGTGTCTGCATTCTTTGCTTTAAACAAACCAAAAAGGTATCCTTTACAAGGTGTTGCATGTTCATCGTTTTTTGGCTTTTTGTGATGTGACTAGGCAGTTTTAGATTCAGTAGTTTGCTATTGCTTTCTTAAAAGTCTGCTCTCGAACTGCTGTCGAAACCAACGATAGACAGTCTGTTGCCAAATCGTTCGTAGATGGGATAGAACCCGGCATCTTGGAATTACGAAGAGAGTTCGCAAGTCCTAAGCAACAGACACTGAGATTCGATACAGTTTTGCATTTGGAATAACAGTCAGCGAAACGGAACACATTTGATTGACACACGCTAACAGTTAATGACCTGAAATCAAACAAGAGACAGTAAAGGGTTATAACTTGTCGAATTCTCAGCCCCCACTAAACTAAAACAAGAACTCGACATCACGATAGGCAGGATAGTAAAAGCATATTGACAAAAACACAAACATCAACAACAAGAATTCACGAGAGCAGAAGATGTACGGGTAAAACAAAAACCATTACCTATCGACTATTACTTTCGGTTTTTCACACGTCTTGCCTGACAACATCAACCTGCTAATTACCGCGAACACCAGAACGTCCTCAGCCAAAAATAAAAAATAAAAAGGCTTTTCTCAGCGATGAAAGAGACAGTGAGCACAAGACGCTAGTTTCTATTATTTGCAAGCACACACTGGGAGTTAGATATAATTATAACATGATAGGCCGCTCCACTCTCCAGCCACTAGAAAGATATCGTTACTGTTTTCTCTTGCCTCCATTCTCGTGCTACACTGAAGTATGAAAAAAAGGGTGGGGGGCGGCAGCGGTTTCAATGGTTTGAAATAAATATTTTTTATAGGCTGCGATAGCTGTGAGAAACTTGGAATATAGAGGATAGCAATGTAGCTTTGGAATCCTCGGGGTAAAAAACACATCGGTAGAGGGAGGATCTCACATCTACTTCCATATAGAGTTCTGTGTGAACGAAACATGAAGAGGCTATATTCTTTACCCACATAAAACTGCATCCCGGCGGTTTCTGGTGCCCTAATTTTAATTTCTGTGGGTATTGAACGGAGTATCTGGGATTTGTTCCGTAGAACCCCGGTGGCTTGCCATCCAGACTGAGATTATGTAACATCTGGGTGGTCAAACACTCAGGTAGCAGCTCAAAGGAGGAAACCTGAAGGAACGTGAATGATACAAGTATCGAGGTGGAACCAGTGCAACAAGATGTCACGTATTACTTTGCGTAAACAGGAACTGTCCGAAGCAGCCAACAGAAGCAGACAAGAAAATGGTTACAAATCATTAAGAGCTGAACGTTTAAGAAGAAACATAACATGCTGTGGCAACAATGGTCATGAATTTCCATTTAGATAAGCTTTCATTAAAACAATCTGGTTTTACTGGGAACATTCCTCATTCATGTGGGTTGTAGTTCCTAAACCTCCCAGTAGCACAGTGTAATAATATCGTCTAAAACAGAGGTTCAATAATACCAGCGGACCCTCCTGTTATTTTATAAGGTCTGCCATTGATATCATGTATTTTAATAGTCATGTTGCAAACAGAAAGTAAATGTATGTATGTATGTATGCTTGTGTGTGCTTATGTATGTGTGTATATGTATGTGTGTATGCGTGTGTGTTTATGTATGCGTGTATGTATGTGTGTATGTATGTGTGTGTGTATGTGTGTGTATGTATGTGTGTATGTATGTGTGTGTATGTATGTGTGTGTATGTATGTGTGTGTATGTATGTGTGTGTGTATATGTGTGTTTATGTATGTGTGTATATGTATGTATGTGTGTGTATGTATGTGTGTATGTATGTGTGTGTATGTATGTGTATGTATGTGTGTTTATGTATGTGTGTATATGTGTGTATGTATGTGTGTGTATGTATGTGTGTATATGAATGTATGTGTGTGTATGTATGTGTGTGTATGTATGTGTGTGTATGTATGTGTGTGTATGTATGTGTGTGTATGTATGTGTGTATATGTATGTATGTGTATGTATGTCTGTGTGTGCGTGTGTATGTCTGTGTGTAAGTACGTGCGTGCATGTGCGTGTGTGCGTATGTATGCGTGTGGGTGTGTTGGTGTGTGTTGGCGTACGTGCGTGCGTGTGTGTATCGTAAAACAGAAGAGGACTGAGGGTTGCTACTGTTGTTATGTTTTTTTAAATCAAATGTAAATACGAACACACAACACACACACATTTGCAATATATATGTATAATTTCCTTGTGTAGCAGGTCCTTTGTAGAACTTCGCTCTCAACAAAGTCTGCCTGAAAGAAACTCTTGTCTCTCACCTGTTATCGCCTCGTGTACTTTTAGATCCAAGAAGTCACCTATATTCTGTGCTTACTTTCGTGCTGGTCGGCCCCTGCCCCTCCTTATGTATATCGATAAGAAACTGCAGTTTAATCACGAACGCATCTTATTTGAATTGAAAACAACCTCAACTGTCTATTAAAACAGACTATGACACACAAGCCACTGTTACCACAGACCTGCCGTGGAGATGAAAGCCACAGTTCTGAACAACACTTTAACGATCTCGGCGTTCTCGCTGTGGTGTCTCATCGCGGCGCTGATGGCCGAGATCCCGTCATGCTGCAGGATGTGCACACAGTTGGACTCTGCAAGTAACAAGGGTGTCATTTAGAACTACTCCTGTACCTTCTTCTTTTTCTTTCTTCTTTTGTCAAAATCTGCTTGTGCCGCTAGGCGTCGCAGTCTATCAGATGATCGGCAACCGAGCCAGGGCGCGCTCAGTCGCTTCATATGCCGTGATGTTATGAAGTCTCAAGTTGTCCGTGACTCCTTCAATCCATCTTCTTCTTGGTCTTCCCCTGCCTCTTGTTGTTTCGATTTTCATGTTGTATGCTCTTGATGCTGGCATCATTGGTTCCATTCTCATTAGGTGACCAAACCATTTCATTCTTTGCTTCTCAATAAATTTAACGATGGGTATGGTTCCAATAGTTCTTGTAATCACATCGTTTCTCACTCGATCTCTTCTGGTTTTATTCGCAGCCATTCTCAAACATCTCATTTCACAGGTAGTTAGTCTTCTCTCATGTTCTTTTGTTAATGTCCAAGTCTGACATTGATAACCTAATGTCGGTATAAAGATTGTATTTATAATTTGTCTTTTTATCTCAGCTGGGACAGCAGGGTGTTTTAAAATTGGGGCAAGCTGGTATGCGACATTGTTGGCTTGTTGGATTCTTGCTTCAATCTCCTGTACCATACAGCTTATTTTACGTTTGGGGTCCTAATGGAGCGAAGGGGCTCAGTTGCAAGTCTCCTAGCTCTTTCAGTCCCAGTAGCATTTTACTGTAACTTGCTGTATCCCAAAACTTGCAGTATCCCAAAACTTGCAGTATCCCAAAACTTGCAGTATCCCAAAACTTGCAGTATCCCAAAACTTGCAGTATCCCAAAACTTGCAGTATCCCCAATATGTTATCACTTTACCTAACTATGTGGATTCGAAGAGGTTGAAATGACTACCACTGCGAGGCAGATGGAACTAAAAGGTCAGCTGATATACAGTGTGTTCGTTAAACATTTGAATAATATGCAGCAGGCATTTCAAAGGCAAGCTAACCTGCGGCCCGTGCAAAACAAATATTCTGCAATAACTTGTACTAAATGACTCCAGTTAGTTTTCTTGTATGGAAATCATGACAATAACATTTAACCGATATGGTCCTCGAGAGACTCTCAGTTTGACATACTTGCTATAAGGTGTAAGGAAACGTGTATCATCAGGAAGAAACAAACAAACCCATGGTGAGATGCTTGGAAACCCCTCTTGCTCAAGCCTACCCTATCACCTTCTCGTGGTGGAAATTGTTCTACCCAGCAAACCAGTGGACAGTTGAGGTCTCATTCCCCACCCCCACCCAATATCTAATAGGAAACTACAAGTGACAAAGACGAAGGTATAGGATAAAGGATTAGCCCATTCTCGGTTTGAAGAGATTCTGAAGTTAGCAATACTAGTCCTGAAAGTGGAGAAAAAAAAACCAGTTTTACGTTATTTTTGCTGTTCTGTATAAAAACCTGGCATATACGGCCCATCAGCAAAGAAATATTGAGACAGTGAATCAATACCGTCCTCAAAGTTTGTGGAACTAAAGAGGAACTCTACAAACATGTATTCCGGGTGTTTTCCGCTTCTTCGCTTTTATTCTGGGTGTTTTCCTCTTCTTCGCTTTGCTTTTATTCCTGGTGTTTTCCTCTTCTTCGCTTTGCTTTTATTCCTGGTGTTTTCCTCTTCTTCGCTTTGCTTTTATTCCTGGTGTTTTTCTCTTCTTCGCTTTGCTTTTATTCCTGGTGTTTTCCTCTTCTTCGCTTTGCTTTTATTCCGGGTGTTTTTCTCTTCCTCGCTTTTATTCTGGGTGTTTTCCTCTTCCTCGCTTTTATTCCGCGTGTTTTCCTCTTTTTCGCTTTAATTCCAGGTGTTTTATTCTTCCTCGCTTTAATTCAAGGAGTTTTCCTCTTCCTCGCTTTTTTTCTGGGTGTTTTCCTTTTCCTCGCTTTGCTTTTTTTCCAGGTGTTTTCCTCTTCCTCGATTTTACTCTGGGTATTTTCCTCTTTCTCGCTTTTATTCCGGGTGTTTTTCTCTTTCTCGCTTTTATTCCGGGTGTTTTACTCTTTTTCGCTTTGCTTTTATTCCAGGTGTTTTCCTCTTCCTCACTTTTACTCTGGGTGTTTTCCTCTTCCTCACTTTTACTCTGGGTGTTTTCCTCTTCCTCACTTTTACTCTGGTTGTTTTCCTCTTCCTCGCTTTGCTTTTATTAAAGGTGTTTTCCTCTTCCTCACTTTTACTCTGGGTGTTTTCCTCTTCCTCACTTTTACTCTGGGTGTTTTCCTCTTCCTCGCTTTTACTCTGGGTGTTTTCCTCTTCCTCGTTTTTATTCCGGGTGTTTTTGCTCTTTCTCGTTTTTATTCCGGGTGTTTTCCTCTTCCTCGCTTTTATTGTTGCATCCAAAATTTACTACTGTGTGTGTGTGTGTGTGTGTGTGTACATATATAAATATATGTATACACACACACACACACATATATATATTGCGCGGATTTTTATCATGGTATGGGGCGTCGTAGATCGACCCAGCCTAAAATGGGTACCAGAATGGCTGTCCTGGGAAAGTAAAGACGGCCGGCGTAATGCTGACCACATTACCCATCCAGTGCCGATTGGTCTGTAAAAATATGGGACGCTCTTCCCATATACCCGATGCGCCTTAGGCGTGGAAAGGGATCTTTACATTTATATATATATATATATATATATATATATATATATATATATATATATATATATATATATATATATATATATATATATATATATATATATATTGCGTACTGTCTTTTGTCGCACCCAGCTATTGTATTAATTATTGCTGTCAGAAATGTTAGCTAACTATTTTTGCTCCTCAGTGTAACTGTTTTTGTCCCACAGTATTACTATTTCTGTCCCTAGTTAACAAATTCTTCTCCATAGTGTAACTCCTTCTGCCCCATAGTTAACATTCTTCTCCATAGTGTAACTCCTTCTGCCCCATAGTTAACATTTCTTCTCCATAGTGTAACTCCTTCTGCCCCATAGTGCTATTACAATAAAAGCTCATGCTTCTTTCTCAGAATTACAGATAAATTGTGTCTTCTTCTTAGCCTTTACTAGCTGTAAACTCCAATGGAAAGTTCTGGTTGTTCATCCACTTCTGGACAGCCTTGTTCTAGAATTTGTATATTGTGCACACATCCGTTTTATAGATCTGGCTTATTTGTATGCAGACTGTTTGTTGCTCACTGACTCTATAAAACAGTTATTTGTTTCTAGCTAGGATTTGCTGATGCAATTCTCCATTTCTGGACATGCAGTCCAAAAGTTCCGACGCCCAGCTGCTGAGCTGAGTGCTTGGTGCGACACTGTGAGCTGTGGAATGTTCTTTTCTGCTGCTCTCACGGCGTGTTGCAGACTGCACTAAAATGGCAGGTGATGGATAACGCCCATAATGGCATGTATGTTTGCTGATGCGATTCTGGCTTTCGTGACTGATCGCTCACGCCAATAATGAGCTTCTATTCTGGCGTTGCACCGTTAGCGTGGGGATATCTGACAGTTGCCGTATGTATTTTTACTTCAAACTTTTGTTGCGACTGAAAAGTGTTTACTCTAGTTTCCAAGTAGGACAGTGAAGGACATATTTCTATGCTTTTCACTGGTACAAGAACGGAGCTGGTAGGGGCGACCCGTCTACAATGTTGTTCAAACTTCGACCAACGACGTTTACACTACCTATATATACTCACCAGACGCTGATGCCATCTTCAGGAGAGACAAGCAGGCGTCATGTTGTAGCTCTTCTTTGTCAGGGAATGACTTCATGGCCTCTATAATACACTGAATGGCATCAGACTTGGCGAAGAGAACTTTCAGAGATTCTGTTGAAGGTTAAAAATAAACAGAGCAGCATGCTAAAAAGGCAGTAAGTAATAGTAAGAAGACTAATGCAACAATGACTGGAAACAGAAGATTCTTAATGTATCTCTTGCGCAATCCTAACTCACCTTCATCTGCAGCTCTTCCCAGCAATCCACTGGAAGATGAAGATCGAAACCCGTGGCAGGAAACTGAATGGGACAACAGACTAAGTAAAGGCGAAACCATGTCACGTCGGCCAGCTGTTGGAATTATTGTTTTGGTCGACACTAAAGCTGTGAATTTCATTGGAAGAAAGTAGTTTCTGTGTTCGGGGAGATGTGTGTTATAAAATGCTTATTTAGAAAATGGCGAGAGGCAGGTTACCACAGA